ATATTATTATTATTGGTATTAAATACCTCGGCCGGGAGTCGAACTCGGATCGCTTGCTTTACGTGCAAGTGTCCTAATCAATTAGACTACTAACCCGGTCATTCTAGTCAAGATTATACATGATCCCCAAAGAAAATTGTCGTCAGCAATTTTTTGATGTAGTTGTCTGTCCCACATACCTAGTGACTTAAAATCATAATATTCACACAAAAAATCCTTATGCGTTTTCCGCCATCTTGAAATTAATCGGTGAAATAGTTTTCGGCGAATATCTGTCTCGTTTTCCACTTTTTGAAAAAAATCATAACAGGAAAGTTGTAGCAAATTAAATTTCCTACATTTCTAATGTAAGGGTATTAAAAAAAAAATATTTTTTTGGCCCAATAAGCGCGCGGAACACCAGCGGTGAAAGATTAAAGCGCAGCTAGTTTTTCGTATTTTTTTATCCTAATAACCTATCTTGCAAAATAAGTGGTGTATTTACATAGGAAAATTATTTCTAATGTTATTAAATTTGTCTGACATATTGGGTTCGTCATTTTGAATTTTGAGGAAATAACATCTGATTCAGAATCAGCGACCCCGAAAACCCCCGAGTACTGATTTTCACGAGCATTGCTCAATTTTTCCAAATATTGTCCGCCACTTTTGAATCCGCCATTTTGAATTTCGAAAAACTGACATCGGATTCGTAATCAGCTACCTCGAAAACCCCCAAATTGCAACTTTTAAGCAAATCCAAGCACTTTTTGGAAAACTCATCCGCCATATTGGATCCGCCATTTTGAATTTTTGAAATATGATTCCAGATTCGTAACCAGACCCCAAAAACTCACGAGTAACAAGTTTTAACAAAATCCATATGATGGGAAAACTCAAATTGACAGAGATATTCGCCAAAAACGATTTCATCGCTTAATTTCAAGATGGCGGAAAACGCATAAGGATTTTTTGTGTGAATATTGTGATTTTAAGTCACTATAGGTATGTGGGACATACAACTACATCAAAAAATTGCTGACGACAATTTTCTTTGGGGGAATTTCTAGAATGACCGGGCTATACTGAGGCCTTAGTAATATTCTTAGCCATAATCGTATAAGTAGGAAATCAACTTCTATTTTCAAGCGACGTAAACAATTTTTGTTTGATAATAATTCAAATTATCGCAATATATATATATATATATATGTGTGTGTTTTTTAGGCATTATATCTATTTAAAGAATATATAATTTTTATATATTTATTACAATATTCACACAAAGAATGAAATAACGTAAAAAAGACTTTAATGAAAAACAGAGAATATATTATTGATAAAAAATGATAAATGTCTTACTTTTTTTTTTGAGTTTGTTCAAGAAATTCTTACTATAAACAAGAACATTGAAATGATTGAAAACATGAAGAACACGATAATCAGCAAATATCGTAGAATATTTTTTTTTTTTTATTTCAATATAAAGTTCATGTTTCAAGTCAAAATAGGCCCATACATCAGTTACTAATGTCCAAGCTTTAGTATATAAATAAACTGAAAAGAAGTTTGTGGAAAGCTCATTATCAATATTATGAAATTATAATTAAATAAATTTGCGTTGATCTCTTTATGATTAAATATTTGTTCAAATATATCTATTAAATATCTCTACTTAAAATATTGTACGTTCGAAATTCAAAGAGGCAAAGGATTATCACCGTGTCGTGACCTATTATTAACGCAAGGTTCGTGAACCTTGCCGTTCACTTCATCAGGGTGAAAAGCGCACTGATACTAAGCTACTCCTCCGGAACATTTGGTGCATCCAGAAGCATTCAGAGCACTCACAATTCCATCTAACAATAATTAACATCGGATGTGATTTCTTGGCTATAGTGGAGCTCACTATGATAAAGTATCTCTTGATCCTTTTTTAATTTTATTTTTATTTATGTTCGCATATTGTCTCTGAAGAAGGCCCAAAAATGAGCCGAAACATGTAAGCTTATCTTTTATAATAAAGAATATTTATTATACATTAGCAATTGCGTAAAGTTATCTGCGCCTGACTCCTAGTGCCCTTTTTCTCTGAGTTTATATTTAATTTCGTTATTACATAACTATATACATATAGACGGCAGCAATTCATAAAATTTTTTATATTTTAATAGTTATGCACCCCAGAAAAATGGACTTTGGTGGCTCGGGATAAGAGACTTGTAGTGTCTTTCAATTTTTGAACATGGCCGGAGACACTGCCGCGTCTCCTGATTCTGGAGACACAACACGGCGATAAGCCGTAACCCCTTTGGCACCTCCGAAGAATATGAAGAAAATGCTTGTGAAAACCTCAAAAGTATTATATATTCTAATTGCTAATGTTATATTGTTATTTCAAAGATCTCTATAATATCGTATTTTCATCATATTAATCGATAATAAATACCTGATCTTTCGTCGTATGTTGCCATGTCGTAATATGATGGGAATGTATTGTGAATTGTGATCATCAACTGAATGGCATCATGTTTACACGATTTAATACAATTTGCAAAAGTACCTGTAATAAAACGAAATCTTATCATGTTTATTAATTAGTTAAATATAGGAGATTTATCAATTAAAGTGTATATTTTTCCAATATAAATTATTCAAGACCTATTCCTTATTTTCAGTTATCTTCCTGGCAAAAATAAAAGTTGGAGAGTTATTAAATCAAATAAGAGAAAAAACAGAAGCGTAAACGAATCCAGCAAACACCAAATAATAATTATATAATTGTTATTTCTCATGTTATAATTTCTCATTCAACAATATAACTGTAATATAATAAATGTGTTGAGTAGAAAATTAACAATTTAATAACTAACAATTATATAGATAACTGTTACTTTGTTGGAAAGTCTCTAGAAAGTGAAATTTAGAACAACGAAATGTAAAAAATCGTTTATATTTCTTTGTCCCAATTTTCACTATCTAGAAGTTTTATTTACATTCGACTTATACACTCTAATTTTTATTTTCACCAAGATAATTGAGAATAATATAGGAGAAATACACTATGATATTGCAAGTCACAAGTTAAATAATAACTTTTCTTCTTTTCTTCTGTAATGTCTTCTTTTTAACAATAAAGAGCTTTAGTTAATTTGTGCGGTGCCAGCGAAAAACTTAAAAAATTATTTAAACATATTAAACGAGGAGTACTCGGGTCGACACCTGCATATTTCTTCGGAACTATTGTAGTACTGTCGGAAAAAGTCGAAAAGTCGGCCAGTACTGACTGTTTGGAGACACTTTACTCTTGACGTGCGGTGCCAGCGCGCGGATCGAAAAATTGTTTAAACATATTAAAAAGGTAAGTAGTCACTAAAACCGATCAGGAACTGTAGTACTCTTCGAGTACTGTGAGATTCCGTCATAAAAATCGGCTTTTTCAAATCTTGCGGTGCCACGCGAAGTTAGCACCGCATATTTTCATTTTAAAAAATTTTTTGCCTAAATCAACAGTACTATTGATGAAACTTATCAGGAACTCTAGAACTATTGCGGGTGCAAGCATACTGTTATTAAAATTTCCGATTTTTAAAGTTGAGGTGCTAACTTCACAGAAACCATGTCTCGCCACAAGGCGCCGCGCCGGGTCGGACTGTGAGGGTAGTTTAATAAGTAACTTTTTTAAATTCGACTTTTTGTCTTTAATTGTCATTTTCACTCCTTTTCATGATCACAACGTTGCTTATACTCAAGTTCGTCATAATTGGTACGTTTCTAGATTTGTTGATATAAGGGTGCAGCCACAATAGATAGAATAAGGAATTAGAAATAAGGAATAAGAAATTTCAGCCTATCAGAAATTATGTATAACAATATATCCGATTTCTGATAGGTTATTCCTTCTATTATACCTTAAAGACGCTATTATTACCTACACCGTGCTGTTATGACTTACTAAATCGCGCCTGCGACCAAGATTACATGCATCCGTTTTTTATCGTTACATGCATCTGTTGATTGACTATAGTATAGAAAGGTCCGAGACCCTCTCTGTCCAGCAGCCAATTAACACGTTTGAAAAATTTGTTGTAGGAATGCATGTAATCTTGACCTGCCCCTGTGAAGTTTACCGCGCAACCCGTCATATTGCGTAATATCGCTAATCATGTATATTTGCAACACTATACATACGTATGTCAAATAAACAAAAATGCTACAAATTTGTGTATGTAAAAATATAAAAAATATATATATGAAATTTTGTCATAAGATAATTTATAGTTATACCATTATAGCTGTTCAGCAAAATGTATCCAACTTCTTGCAGAATTATTAGTCTTCGGCATATATGTGGAATGATAGTGTTGTCATCACCTTGAAAAATGCGTATCATTTCGGCTTTATTTAATGTTGTATAAAATTTAGGATCCCACATTGGTTTTCCATCCTATCGCAAAAAGATTAATTACATATTAGATCTAATTAAAAATAAAAAATTACAGGCGCATTTATAGAAATAAAACCAATGTATGTATAACAAGACAATAGAAACAGGGTGTTTACCACAAACTACCATTTACATTGTGTAAGAAATTTACTTGAAATCATATAGACATATAGTACTAGACTGCGCATTGGAGGAATAAGAGTAGTCCACATATACAAAAGAATGCATTCATTAGGGCGATTAGGGCCTTCACGTTCTCTCTCATTTACGTTCTCTCGCAGTATAGCCGTATATATATTCTAAAAGAGGGGATCAAAAGAGGGAAATTAGGAATTGAGAAGATAATGATGTAACAGTTAAACAGTATTGAGAGATCGCTCGAAAACTAGAACTATATGAAACTATATTAAACTTTAGAACTGAGAACTATATGAAACTTGCAATATGCGGACTATCTGAAAATAGTATACAAGAGTAATGGTACGGAACACATTGTATCTTTTTAATAGTTTGCTTTATCAAACAAGTGAAGGAAAAAACGATAGAATTTACATGCGCGTATTCTATTAAAATATCAATAATTTTGTGCACTATTATAAATTTAAATATGCTATGAGAAAACAGAACTAATACGTTCTAAATTAACGACGTAAATAGTTTACTTCATACCTCATAAATCATCGCGCATTATGATTAGAATTAAAAGAATTACGTAAGTACTGTATTTTTATATATATATATAATGTATATATGTATTTAACCTATGTAAAATATTTTAATATGTTATACTACAAATTAGAAATAAATTAAAGAAAATTTTGTATTTATATTCTATATTTAGGATAGAATGGGGCTATTCCATCAGTTCCAACTTTAAAATATGAAAATTTACAATAGCACACAATATCTCTTTCCAGTGATGTGCTTATAAGAGCAAAAGCACAACCTATATATAATCCTGATTTAAATCATCAGAGAGAGAGAGAGAGAGAGAGAATATGTGCTGTTCAGAAAATATAAATATTATCTTTAGAAATGGATGAAAAAGCCTCGCTCTACCCTATTTTATATATTCTATACTTATATATATATATTCTATATATTGTTATTTGTGTGTATGTGTATACTATTGTGTGTGTAAATTTTTTAATATTAATAGATTAATATCTATTAATATCTAAACTTTGAAAATCAACTTTAGACTAAATTTTTAATACGTGAAATTAAAAATATTAACATTACGTGATTGACTCATCTCTCGTTTCGAGTTTATTTGCAGATGACAATATAAATAAATGTATTAAACTTTTCAAATTGAAATATTATTCATTAATTAATAATTCCTACTTTCATATATTTATAAATTATGTAGGATATGTAAATTATAATATATTTACATACAGCAATGAAAAAACGTTATGGTTGCCATTATCGGAAATAATGGTAATTTTCGTCCATCAATACATTTGGATATGTTAACTATAAAGATGGACATTCTAATAGTCATAACTGTTAAGATATAGATATGGCCAGTGTTCTCCGTTATCTAGATAAAATTATCCAGAGATAATCATCTAGATGAAGAAATGACTTGATTTTATCTTTATCTAGATTATTAAGAATATAGACTATCTTTATCTTATCGTAGATTTAAAAAAATGTTATCTTTTTCAATTTATCTAAGATTGTAAAAGAGTATAGTAAGAAATTTCTATGTAAACAATCAACCTCCAGTAGTAGTAGTGATGAGGATTTCTTTCGTAATAGAAACAAAAAAATTAAGATTAGTTCAACACCAGTTATTCAAAGCAACATTGAAGTACTTTCATATTTAGAGAATAAATCAAAAGAATTAGATATCTGAATTTATATTCACACATTAAACAAATTTTTTAAATATAATACGTCATTGTACTATATAATTTTTATAATCAACAATTATATTGATGGGTGACTTTTAGTCATGGCAACTGTAGCCGTTTTCTCCGTGAATATATATAATTTATAAATATAATATAAAAAATAAAATATAAATATATAAAAGATAACCGATTTATAAGTTAAGAATTATTGGAACAGCGATTTAGAACGGCTCGCTGAGACCGTTCCCAAACCGAAAGGCGCTGTGCCAAAGTTTGGTCTACCAGCGTGGAAGATGATGCCGTTGGAGCATAAAATACCCATGATACCTGGACCGAAGGGCGCTTACAGCTTCACGCGACAAAAAGTGGGAAAGAAATTATGGGGACCGAAATTGGAGTTTGATCTGAGCGATCCTTACTGCCATGAAACAAAATTCCTTTACGAACCTCTGCATGACGAGCATTTGTTCAAGTTTTTTTCCAGACCGATTAATCAGAAATGTCTACAGGAAGCCGATCTAATCACAGATGACTTGGATGTAAAGTGTTCGCTGCATGATTACAATGAGTACAGAAAGTATCTGAGGCAGGTGCACGCTGATCGTATTAAGAGAAAACTAAAGAGAAGAAACCGTTTTTTCGTTGAGAGAAGAGCCCTACGCTTTGCTGAAGATCAGGCGCGTAAGGAAGCAGAAAAGTAATTCGCAATTGTTACATGGAGAAGAAAATATCGTTTTTAATTAAAAAAATTTCTTCTAACCAAGAAAGAGAAATATTTCATTATTCTAAATACTTTTTTGTTTCGCAATATCCTTTTTTTAAATATATTTTAAATAATATAGAATATATAGAATTTATTACATTTTAGCATATACAGCCAAGAAGAGGATTTGGCTTATAAATATAATGAAAGAAAGAGAGAAGTTGGCCACCGAGAGACAGCATCTTGTGCAGCTACGACTACTACAAGAGGAACTAAGAATTCGAAAGCTAGAGGAGCGAGCGTACAGAACAACGCGAAGATTGAAATTGTTAAAGCTCGTTAGGCGAGAAGAACGAAGACTAATAAATATTAAGTGTGATGAGCGGATTGAGCAGATTCGTCAAAAATGCAAAATTGCGGCAGAGATCACTCGACGTAAAGTGATTGATACGTTGGTGGATTGGAAGAAGAAGGACAAGGTACGAAAGAAAGGCAGACAGAAGCGACTAATGAATATTACACAACAAAAGCAGAAAGACATGGAAGAAAGGTATATATACGTACATTATTCAATATATTTAGATAGAAAACAAAATATATCATGCGATTTTTGACAAATAAAGAATGATTTAGTTTAGTAACTCTTATAAACACGAGTAATCTTAAAATCTGTATTGGCGAATTTCAGATGGATAAAAAAGCGGCAGTTCCAAGAAAAGAATATTGCGAAACAAAAAATGTTATTACAACGTATAGACGCTCGTCGTCAAAAATTTATAAAAGATTATAACAACAAGATAAATAAAGAAACCGCAAAAATGAAAAGTAATGTTATAAAAAAAAAATTGAGGAAATTATATTAACGTTTTCAATTAAAGAGTTCTTAACTTAGGAATTGTGCAATCATTATTGTTTAAATTAATTGAAGGATTTAATTGTATTAAATATAATGTAATTTTGTGTGCGCAGAACTTTTGGACAATGCGAAGTTATTCACAAACTGTTACATGAAGAGACATTTACCAGATGGAAGGAAACTTATTTGCTGCAAGAAATATTTAAAAAATAATATGGTATAAATACATTAAAAAACTTAAAATGTTAAAATACTTTAAACAGAAAAAGAAACGCATTTTATATTAAATGTTGTTTTTATTATATTATACGGAAAAATGAATTGAATTGTAACTCATAAAATTCAACGAATCTTCCGTCAAAATTCACGAAACAAAAAGTACAAAAATTTATATTCTTAATTTACGTTATACATTTTCATACTTTGAACTTTAATAAAAATTATCATTTCTGATAATAGATAGGTATAAATGAGTAAATGCATGAATATACCGCAACAATTGAAGTAGACACAAGACAAGTGATAACAATAAAATAAAATAGACCGATCGTTAGCAGAGTTATTGATAGAAAACGAAGTTAGAAAATGTCAGCCGATGAAAATTGTGTTAACAAAAATAGAAGCAATCAGTGTTACGCTATTAACAAAATTAATGTTAGAAGATAAATGTTACATCGTAAAGAACAATAAGATTAAAAAATTTTAATGTTAAATTACATTAATAATATATTGGATATATGGTATATTGGAACAATAGGTGAAATATAGCACGTCACATAAAACTAAATAATTATTCTCACGTCAATTGCCCTTTTAATAGCAGCGCACAGTGCCATGTATCCAGTTAATCCATTAACTTTCCATTCCTTCATATTCTCTTGAGTCCAAAGTGCAAAATTCAATGTATTCAATACGAACAGCCAATCCGCCGCTCTCTTGTCATTCTTGTCAGGATGAAATTCGGATGACAATCGCACGTAATTAAATGCAATTGCGTTGAAATTTTTATTATCATAATTGTGAGATATATAAGTTATCACCTAAACAAATTGATTGAGATCTCATTTATAATGTACTTTGTTCTATAATTGCAAAAATAAAACGGAAACTAAATTTACACAAAATTAGATAACTTATACCGAAATATTAATAACAACATTTACACAAAATTATGTAATTTTATACCGAAATATTTACAATCAAATTTTCAAAGAATGAAAAAAGAAAAACCTCTGCCACTAATTGTGTCAGTTCTTTCATATTGATGAACACGTCCTGCGAGTTGATAACAACATATTGCATCGTATCAATGTTTTGTTGATTCTGTGACTGCATAATGTTGCGTTTATGTTTTGCTGTTATTTCAAACTATAACTGTGATTACCTCAATTGTGAATACTTCGACAAGTCTCACGATCGCGGTCACCTCGACAAGCCTCACGACGAAATTTCAACGTAACTAAAAATAAACATGACATGAAAATACAAATTTTCGACAATCTACTATTTGTGTTATTTCAAATCGAGATCAATACTATCATTTAATCTTGTTCCTTTAACTATATAATACTATTATATACAGAATACTAACATTTTTTAAAAGATACGAGAAATTTATGTGAATCCAGTAATACGTACCGCAAAATTTTAAGTTTGTCCCTATTAGTGTGGCCTGTATTGGACTGAGAACATTGAAATAAGTATAATTGAAATGTACATTGAAATAAATATAATTAAAATAATAGCTTATATAATACATTAATTTAAACAATCAACTTGTATTACTTGTTTTGGTAATTATATGTTAAAATGCACACAAATTGGGAGTACATTAACAGTCCAGTAAGAAATGACAATGGAATCGATATTGAATTGATGTCGATTCGACGTCGAAATCATCAAATCGACGTCAATTCAATTGTCATTTCTCACTGGGAGGGCCATCGCCGCTTGGAGGACATTAATATGGACAAAAACGTGTTTTTCGTTTTTATCAAAAACATAGTGTATATTAACATTTTTTAGAGATTAAAGAAATTTTACAAAAAAAAATAATTGAAAAACCGATATTAGTTTTAAGCATATAAAATATTAAAGCTACGATATTTAATAATTAATTCAGTAATAAGCAAATTAACTTAAAAGCACACTAATAGGGGAGTTACTTTTATACATAAAAATGATTATAACAAAAATCTTTCCAACACAAAAAACCCATGGCACACAAAAAAATTTAAGGCAGTAAAACGTAAGCAGTAAGCAAATTGATCAATCACAGTAGAGGCTGTAAGGCCATAACTTAAGCAAATCCACAATGTTGATTTCTTTACTGCTTACCGTCTTACTGCATTAAGTTTTTTGTATGCCATGATCTTAAGAATTGTAGGTACAAGTAATTGATAACATCTATGCTTATTGCCTAAGCCGAGCTGAGCTGAGGATTGTACAATAAGCAGTATAAATGATTCTCATAAAAAAATTGTAATAAACTTTCATTTTTAAGAAACTGAGAAAAATCAAGATTCAATTATTCTCTAAAGTCGTAATCACACTACAAGTTGCCGGTTGTCAATTTTCTTTTGACGAATCGTAATACAATGAGCGCGTTAGATGCAACGTAATTGACGAAAATAAAACCGACAACCGTATATAATCGCTAACCTGTAGTGTGATTAAGGCTTAAGGAAAGTCGGGACTATGATCGTAACGCTACTGAGAATGAATTAGTCTTGACAAGATTAGATTCAAATTTTTATTATAAATATTTCGTACACGAGACCAGTTATGGTGTTGTGAACAGATCGTAGAAATAATAGCTTTGAGAAAAGCTAGATCAAGTATTGTCATTATTTTCGATCTAAAATAGGATCTATTGTTTGACCTCCGCAAATTTGACCCCATCCAATTAAACGCCAATGCTTTTCCACTCTTCTGGATAACGCAATCTTCTCATCAATCTCAGTGCACACTGGATTCGTCAAGCTGATCTTCGCCAAGTCAGCACGAGTAGCCAATACTCTGCCACCGGTGCTCAACGATCCAATGTTAACAAGTAGTACCTCTCCCCTTGATAGTTTTGGTACCTATTACCAAGATATTTACAAAAATAATAAATTAATTAAAATCTTTTTTATTATATAGAATATAAACATAACATTAGAAAAAAAACAAAGCTAGATATAATTACAAGCTATATACAAGGATACAAATAAAATATCAGAAAATAAACTATTACATAAAATATTTATATATTTGCAATGTTTATGAGAATGCTAGTTAAGACTTAAACCTGTAAAATTACTTACAGAATACACATATTAATTTAAATATGATAATGTAAATTTTTTAAGATTGTGCAGAATGAAAATAGACTCACCCTCGCACCCTTTTTATCGCCCTCGGTTCTCACTCCCAATAAACGTTTCAATAAATAATACGAAATTTCCAGCTCAATAAATATTTGTGGCAATGCACCGACACTTCCAAGAATTTGCCCAACTAAACGATCAGCACGGCACAGAGTAGGCTCGATTTTGGTTCCAACACCTTAAAAAAGTTACATAAATAATCTATTATTCTTACAAAACAAGAACTTGTTATCACCCTATTCATACAAGAGTGATTAACTCTACGTTTACACCATCTCATGCTATAAACACTTGATAGATAACTTGATCTAGCTTTAAGTTAGGTTTCATTTTTTTAACGGCCTGACCTAAAATAGGTCGTAAGCTTTTTCGGTGTAAACATGCGAGATTTGTTGACAAAACACGAGACGCTTTAGGTAATTTGGACCTAAATACGACCTCATCAATTTTTAAAAATATTTGATGTAAATGTAACTTGTTGATAAACTATTAGATGCTTGAATTAATTCTCGCTGTTTTTTGCTAAAAAAACTCGACTCCTTTTATCAAAAAAGTACCTGATATTTTATTCACAATATTGTCCATTAAAAGATATAAACTTTTCCCATTTTTCGAGAAACAAATGGATTCCGCTATAGAAAAATTCAGGTTCTTTCGAGGCAATCCAGTCATCGAACCATTTTTTGATATCTTCGAAATAACTGTTGCTTAGAAAAACCATGCTGTATCGACCGAAACAAGTGGTAATCTGATGGAGCAACGTCTGGTGAATAGGGCGGGTGAAGTAAGACATCCTATTCAAGTGCCTCAAAGATATCCTTCACTGGTTATGCAACATGGTCTGGCCAGTCTGGCGTTGTCAAGGAGACAAATAACTTTATCATGTCTTTTGGCATATTGTGGATGTTTTTCTTGAGTGCTCGATTCAAATTGAATAATTGACGTTGATAGCATTCACCATTGATGGTTTGACTCGGTTGCAGCAGCTCATAGTACATGACACTGACTTAATCCCACCAAATGCATGACCTTCTTTCCATGAATATCCTGTTTTGGCGTTGATATTGATGATTCGCCGGGACGCACACATGATTTCTTGCGTTTAGGATTGTCGTAACGAATCGATTTTTCATCATCAGTCACAATTCGATGCAAAAACGACTTCCGTTTTTGTCTCTGGAGCAGCAATTCACAAATGGCTGAACGTTTTGCAATGTCTCTTTCAATCCATGTGGGACCAAATTTCTTAACTTTTCGATCGTTTCCATTGCTTTTAAACGTTTGCTAACGGTTGACACATCGATATTTAATATTTCCGACAATTCTTTGAGCGTCTGACATTAATCTTCTTGAAGTAATGCCTCCAATTCTCCATCTTCAAATTTTTTCGGATGATGACCAGAGCGCTCTTTGTCATTCACGACAAAATCGTTGTTTTTTTTAAATATTCTAAATCAATCTCTGCAAGTTATTTCAAATAAAGCATGCTCTCCATAAACCTCCACTAGCAAACGATGACTTTCAACAGCAGATTTCTTGAAATTAAAACAGAAAAGTAACGCAAATGCTCTTTTTTTGGTACGAAACCCAACATTTCTAACGCGATAAAAAATTGTATTCTTTGCATCCGATCAAATGTTATATACTGATTATTAAAGCCTGTTGATA